CCTTTCTCTCTGTTTCTCTCTCTGTAACTCTACCTGTCAAATAAATAAATAAAATCTAAAACAAATAAATAAAAATAAATGTCACTTTTTCAGAGAGAGATCTTCCCAGACCACCCTATAAAGAACACCCCTTGTCTTGTCCTCCACCTATCCTTCGTATTGTTGTAATTGAAAGTCTTGACAAAATTTGTAATTATTTCATTTATCTATCTTCCCTGCCATTTTTATCCATCTTCCTGAGAACTGAAGTAGACCAGAATATACCTCTCCAAAATATGCTACTCGGCATAAGAATTATTTGGAACTATAGGATGCTAAGAATCAATAAATTCAGGAAGAGTTCTCTCCCCTCCCATTATTTGCCTAAATCTCCCTTGAGGAAAGTGACCTTCTGTACCAGGGAGAGAAGAGTAACTCTTTATCCTCAAAGACAGGGAGTGGACACCAAGAAAAGTTTGCATAAACAGACCTCACTAAAATTGCCCTTATCTCCCATTCATTAGTCCTTTAATATCTTTCCCAACCACTTCTCCACATGTTATCGCCCCTTGAAGCCCAAACACTCATTCTTTTGTTGAAAGTGCATATTATCCCCCAAGTCTAATCTCTACTTTCAGTTTCATTTCTTTTCTGTGAACTCCCGTGAACATAAGCTCATGTCTATTTTCTCCTGTTAATCCTTCTGTTGGTTTAATTCACAGGCACTTGAGAACACAACCTAAGAGGGTCGTGGCAAAGCTTTTCTTCTCTGACAGAAATAAGATTGTCTTAAAAAGTGGTGTGTGTTGGGGATTCAAAGCAAGTGCGTAAGATAAGATAGATAAGAGAGTCAAGAGACAAATAGATCATAGAGAATCTTGTATGTCATGCTTATGAGTGTCACCCTTATCCTGTGGAAAGCCTTTCTCAAAGTGTGGCCCATGGGTTACTTGCATCAGAATTACCTAACCGGGGCCGGCGCTGTGGCAGGTTAATTCCCTGGCCTGAAGCACCAGCATCCCATATGGGCACCAGTTCTAATCCTTCTAGTCCTAGCTGCTCCTCTTCCTATCCAGCTCTCTGCTCTGGCCTGGGAAAGCAGTAGAAGATGGTCCAAAACCATTGGGCCCCTGCACTCACATGGAAGACCCGGAGGAAGCTCCTGGATCCTGGCTTTGGATCGGTGCAACTTTGGCTGTTGTGGCCAGTTGGGGAGTGAACCATCGGATGGAAGACCTCTCTTTCTCTCTCTCTCTCTCTCTCTCTGCCTCTCCTCTCTCTGTGTAACTCTGACTTTCAAATAAATACATAAATCTTAAAAAAAAATAATTACCTAACCAAGGTTTATTTAGGACGTGGCTTCCTGGGCTTCCTTCCAGATCCATTAAATCTAAATCAGTACACAATGGAGAACCATCAAAGCCACTTAACATGAGATGGTCATATTCAGGATGGACTTTTAATCAACTTCACCCCTAGTTGTAAGTGTTCTGACCAGTGGAAACAGAGAGAAAAATCTCTAAAACACAATTAAATACAAAGAAAAAACACCTGCAGAGGGGAGTTTGGTTTCTTTCTAGCAGAGGTTACTACTTGGCATATTCAGTTGAAATTGTTAGCACAATATTAACTCTGACCTCTGTTCTACTGGTCACCCTCAGATTTTGCCCTGGAGAAGACAATGTTTAGCCATCATCCCTTGGCTTAGCTTCATTCTCCTTTGATTTGGGAGATCTCTCCTCTCCACCTAACTTAGAGAGGAAACTTCCTTGTGAAGCCAAAAGGATTTCACTCTCACATTCTTTCTATCTGCTCTCAGCCTGACACGCCCTTTGTTTAAGACCAAGAACACAGAGTTCTCATTTGTGCCAGAATATGTGATCATATATCTTCTACCCGAAAAGGACAAACTTAGAGGCTGCTGTTGTGGTGCAGTGGCTTGAACTGCTAATTGTGACGCCTGCATCACCTATTACAGGGCCAGTTCAAGTCCTGGCTGCTCTGCCTTGACCGGCTTCCTGCTATTGTACCTAAAAAAGCAGCAGAGGATGGCCCAAGTACTTGGGGCCTTGCCACCCATTTTTTGTGGGAGACCAGTACAGAATTCCTGGCTCCTGTCTATAACCTCGCCCAACTTAACTGTCATGGCAATTTGGGGAGTGAATCAGTGAACTGAAGATCTCTTTCTCTCTCTGCTTTTCAAATGAATCCTTTTCTAAGAAAAAGTACAAATTTATTCATTTCTTTCAATAAAGATTTACTGAATATCAGCCAGGTGATAGGCTTGGTTTAGGCATTGAGAATATAAAGAAAGTTTTATTCTGCTGTTGCCAAAATAAGTTCGGAGTCATTTATGTAGTGGGTTGTTAATTGTCCACTCCCTAAAAAGATCATGAAGAAGGCTCATTGATTAAGCAAAGCAAGGTTATTATCTCTGCTGCAGTCCTGGTAGTATCTCAGAATGAAGAAAAGGGTGAAGTTCGGATCCAGTAATTTGGGGAATCTTGCAAGGCAGGGGACTGGGCAGAGATTGGACAGAGCTCTGGAGTGATGGGTTATGGCAAAGGGAAAGATTTGGAGTTATTTCTGGTGAGTTCATCATTACTGTAAATAAGGACAGAAATACAATATAGACTTGGTTCTCAGTATTATTTTACAGGAGCAGTCATTTGTAGAGTGGTTAAGTCACTTATGGATTGGTTGCTGTCTCAGGATTATTTGAAAGGAAGAGAAAAATATGCTTGGTCCCAATATTCTTTTAGCATAGGAATACAACATGGTCTTCATTTTCAGTCCAATGAAGTAAATTAGAAAAAGCTCCAAACAGTACTATGGGAACAAACCAGACCTATGTTTGGAGGTGTCACCATTATATTGACAGTCCTGTTTTTCACCCCTCCTGTGCCTGCACCTTTGCCATGTCACTTCGTGGTGACCTTCCACTGTGTGGGGAACACAATTCCCCAGCTCTGAGCCCAGCCACAGGACTTCGTTTGCCCACAGGATGTTTGCACTGTGCCATTTTTCTGCTGTTTCCTAACCTCTGCTTGGGGGGTGGGGGTGGTCCCAAGAGCTGGCCTCATTCTTTCCAGATGTTGAACTAAGAGCTACCGAGACTGTGGGAACCCTCCAAGAGGATAGTCCATGATGTCTTAATGTACAGCTTCCTAGAGCTACTTATGCTGAGGTTATTGGAGTTTCTGAAACCTACACTCTCTGAATAAAACTCTCTCGCATGCAAACTAATGTTAAGCGTTCAAAGAAACCTTGACACTTCTGCTGTTTTCTCTAATGCAAGGCACTGTATTTTGGGGTGGCAGGCCCTGAACCCCATTAGTTGGGATGATAACATCTTACCATATTGGGAAACATGGAAAAAAATTGTTGTCGGAACCAGAATGCCCATCTCAAGTTACAAAATGGTATCAGGCGTGAGAGATCCCTCTACAAAGCCAACACACAGAGACTGCTGGAATCCACATTTAAAATGCATCTGTCCTGTTCCTCAAAACTCACTGACTAAATAATAACTACAGCAGGATTCCTCTTTGGTAGGCTTTTAGGAGTGCATTTTCAAAACCAGAGAGGGAGGCCAGCACCGTGGCTCAATAGGCTAATCCTCCGCCTGCGGCACAGGCACCCCAGGGTCTAATCCCGGTCGGGGCGCTGGATTCTGTCCCGGTTGCTCCTCTTCCAGTCCATCTCCCTGCTGTGGCCCAGCAAGGCAGTGGAGGATGGCCCAAGTGCTTGGGCCCTGCACCCGCATGGGAGACCAGAAGGAAGCACCTGGCTCCTGGCTTCAGATCAGCGTGGTGCGCCGGCTGCAGCGGCCATTGGGGGTGAACCAAAAGAAAAGGAAGACCTTTCTCTCTGTCTCTCTCTCTCTCTCACTGTCCACTCTGCCTGTCCAAAAAAAAAAAAAAAAAAAAAAAAAAAAAAAACAAAACCAGAGAGGGAGTGTCTTTTAGGAAGAAGAGACTCTGATCTTAAACTTCATCCTAAGCACTTTTCACTATACCCTCTTTGGCCTGATTTGACTTCTCCTATCACTACGATGCCATTATAGGCCAAACTGTCCACTAAAAAATTCTGGGTTAGAGTCTTAACCCCAAGTTCCTCAGAATCTCATTTTAGTTGAAGAAGGGGGCTTTTAAAAAGTTTATCTTTTGGGGGTCGGCGCTGTGGCACACTTAGTTAATTCTCTGCCTGCGGCGCAGGCATCCTGTATGGACGCTGGTTCTAGTCCAGGTTGCTCCTCTTCCAGTCCAGCTCTCTGCTGTGGCCTGGGAATACAGTAGATGGCCCAAGTGCTTGGGTCCCTGCACCCGCATGGGAGATCAGGAAGAAGCTCCTGGCTCCTGGTTTCAGATCAGCACAGCTCTAGCCGTTGCAGCCATTTGGGGAGTGAACCAGTGGATGGAAGACCTTTCTCTCCTCTCTCTCTCTCTCTGTAACTCTACCTGTCAAAAAAATAATAAAATCTTTTAAAAAAAAGTTTATCTTTTCATTTGAAAGGCAGAGTTAGAGAAACAGAAGGGAACACAGAGAGAGAGAGAGAGAGAGAGAGAGAGATTTGATCTGCTGGTTTACTCACCAAATGGCTGCAATAGCCAAGGCTAGACCAGACCAAAGCCAGGAACCAGGAGCTTCTTCCAGGTCTCCCACATTGGCGCAGAGGCCCAAGTACTTTGGCCATTTTCCATTGCTTTCCAAGGCATATTAAGAAGGGAGCCAGATCAGTAGTGGAGCAGCCAGGACTTGAGCTGGCACCCATACATAGTGCTGGCATCACAAGCAGTAGCTTTACCTGCTACAATAAAGCACTGGCCCGGTAGATAGGGTCTTTATAGAGATAACACAGTTACAAAGAAGTGATGAAAGTGGGCTTTAATTCTGTAGGACTCGTGTCCCTGTACAAAGGGGAAATATGGAGCCACATGCAAGTGGAGATGAAAACAGATGCAGGTGATGCTTCCACAGGGCAAGCGATGACAGAGGTTGCCAGGTAACCACTGATGTTAGAATGCGGGCATGGCATAGATTCTTCCCCTCTGCCCTCTCGAGAAGACAACTCTGCCTGCATCTTGACTTTGGATTTCCAGTCTACAGAACTGACACAATTAGTTCCAGTTCCTGAAGCTACCCGCTTGGTGGCACTTTGTTATGGCAGCCCTAGGACCTACCAGAGCACTGACACTGGATCTTCAGAGTAGCCTGAAAACAGCATGGCAGCTAGTAGAAACTTGTGAATGAATAAGTAAATCCATGAATGAGGAACCTCAGGCTCTGGTTCACGCAAGTCACAGAACCTTTGTAAATACTCTGTAATGAATATACAATAGTGCTTCCTTTCCTTTGGGAAACAGTCCCTTCCCTTCTGGTTCTGTTCTCAATAAGATGAAATTCATCAGACCCACTGTTCTCCCACAGAGTCAGGGGTGTGACCCAGGCTGGGGGTGAGTTCAGAGCTGAGCATGTGATTCAATCCAAGTCATTCATGTGCCCATCAAAACCTTTGTGTTGGAACTGGCAAGAAGGTAAGTCTTAGCTTTGGAATCTTGATATTGGAAACATGGGCAGTTAGAACTGATGATGTCTACCTAGCCCAATGTGGGTATGCAGAGCATTCATCTCCAGAATACAGGAAATTGGCCAACACAGAATGGGGAAGGGGAGAGAGAAAGAGAAAGAACGTGAAATGAATTAAGGTCTCCGTTCTTCTTTGTGTTCCAGCAAGATCAATGACCACTTCCTCTTTTTCAAAGCCAATAAACTTTCTGTTCCTGTCTAAGCTACTTTATGTAGCTTAGCAAAAGAATACTGGAGAATTCAATGTTATTGCTTTTGAGAACAGCTGTCAATAAGCTTTGCATGTGTTTAGCTACTCAGTGAATCCTTTCAGAGGAACCTAGGGTACCTGCATTACTAACATTTATTCCCATCTCATACACCATTCACATGAGATACTGAAATGCTCTGGACAGCACACTTCACTTTAACCTCTTCTACCATTGAACTAACTGTCATGCATTGGGTTTCATACAAACTTCTGATCAGAGCCGGGGCGGTCCAGAAAGTTTGAAGAAGACCCAACTACTGCTGCTGTTGTCACCCTTCTTAGCCCTTCTTGGAGTGCAGCATCAGCACCTTCTAGATAGACAAGGATCTGGAGATGTCAACACATTGCCTAATGGCTTTGTTTGGCAAATGGCTCAGCAGAAAGGGGCACAGAATTTACCATTCCTTTCGGTCTCTCAAGGTAAGTGCTGTGCTGCTTTTCTGTTCAACAAAGTAGATTCTGTTTTGAATAACTTTTTCTATTGGAATATATGTATGCTTTATTATTTTAATTTTTAAAATTCATTCTTAACTATTTGAGAGACAGATATTTCATCTGCTGGTCCATTTCCCAAATACCCACAACAGTGGGGGCTAGGCCATGCCAAAGTCAGAATCCCAGAACTCCATCTGGGATTACACCAGTGATAGGGGCCCAAGCACATAGGTTATCATCATTGCCTCCAAGGGTGCACATTAGTGGAAAGCTGGAATTGGAAGTAGAGATAAGACTCAAACCCAGACTCTCTGATGTGGGATGCAGGCATTCCAAGCAGTGCCTTAACCACTGAACCAAATGACCAAATGCCCATCACCCCACAAAAATCCATACTTTATATATTGGAATACAGGTAGAACATCCCTAATCTGAAAATCCAAAATCTGAAACTTTGTGAGCATCAGTGTGACACCACAAATGGAAAATTGCACACCGTGGAAGTTTGTTTCATACACAAAAAATATTTAAAATACTATATGTAACCTTCTACTTGGGTGCATAAGATGCATATAAAACAAATTAATTTCATATATATACCTTGCTCCCATCTCCAAGGTATCTCATTATGGATATAAGCAAATACTCCAAAAACTGAAAAAGTCAGAAATCTTAAACACTTTTGGTCTGAAGCATTTCAGATAAGGGGTACTCAACCTGTACATAATTACATGTTGAGATATGCTTTGATATATTAGGAGAAACTAATGCTTAAAAAAAGTGAGACCCTCTAGGGCAGTAGCCCCTGGGTAATTGTCTACTGCATTAATAAATGAATGAGTAGGTATTTGGAGCTAATGCCACTATCTCAACATCTCCTGCCCCACAGTTACTGCTGAGTTGCTCTGACAATGGGGCTGGAACACAGGCATCAGAGTAGGTGGTTAAGGGCCCTACCAGGCTTAATAGTGATGCTCAACTTTGCCCTCAACTAGTTAACTGACCTCAGATGAATCACTCAAGTACTTGAGCTTGAGCTATCAAGTGGGGATCATAGTAATTGCTCCCTCATAAGACTGTAATAAAGATTGAATCCCTGTAAACATTCCCAAATACAGACAACAGTGCCTGGTACCCACAAAGACGAGGAGAGGTCTTGGTCTGCCCCTTGCATTCTACCAAAAGTCACTCGGCACACAGAAGGCATTTGGAGAGGGGCGGAAGGGTCAGAGGGCTGGCAAAACCAACAAGGAATGTTTATCACACACATCTGCATTGTGCAGTGTGGGAAGGGTGAGTTACACATTTTCCACTAAAAAAAAAAAAAAAAGAAAAAGAAAAAAGAAAAGAAAAACCCCTGGCACCATCCCGTGTATGCATCCCCTGGGTTTTGTGCAGGAACAGCTAGCAATGACTAATCCGATATCAGAAGTAGCTTGACAGCCAAGGACTTAATTTATGAAGTGTTTAGTACATTCCTGACAAAAATCAGCTCCGAGGTATGGACACTCATTCATTCATGCCTTATGGTTCCCAGCTGCAGCACAGAGCCGTAAACGCTCACCGTTGGAAGCCTGGTGGCTGCTAGGAGTGGATTTCCAGGAAGGACTATTTTATTTTTTTCAGAGCAGGTCGTCAAGGAGGGGCCCTGCAGGACCCAGAGGTTTAGAAGAATTGGGGGCACCAGCCAGCCCCAGGATGGGATAGAAGGAGGGATGAGGACTGGGCTTTGCGTGTTGGAAGGGCTAAGCAGCTCCGGGCTCCTCTCTGGAATTCACCTTCTCTCGAATTCTGCTGCTGCCGAAGGGGAAGAGGCAGAGGTGATTCTCTTCTCTGATTTGTAGATAGGGATGCAAAGCTCCAAGATTCAGTGAAGTGAGTTTGCTTGATTAAAAGTGTTAACCCTCCCTCTATCTGTCTCTTCTCTCTCTCTCTCTCTCTCTCTCTGGCTCTCAACCTCTCAAATAAAAAGGGGTCGGCAGAGCATGTGGACCAATAGTTAGAGACCAGTTACGACACCTGCCTCCTGCATTGGTGTGGACTTGACGTCCACCTCCGGCTCCTCAGCCCAGCTTTCTGCCAATGCAGATTCTGAGGGGCAGCAGGTTGGGTGGCTCCGGCAGCTGCGTCTGTGCCACTCAAGTAGGAGGTCTGCGCTGAGTTCCTGGCTCCTGGCCTTGGCTCAGCCCTGTCCCAGCTGTTGAAGGCACTTGAGAAGTAAACCAGCAGATGGCAACTTCTTCTCTGTCTCTCTCCGTCTGTCTGTATCACTCTCTCTGTCTCTCACATAATAACAAAACAAAGAGCCAACCATCTAACAGAAGGCAAAAACTATACGTATATGTTTGGAAGGCACTTTGGGACAGAGCCTTTTGTAGGTGGAGAAAATGTCATTTAGCTGAGTAAGTTGAGTTGGAATGACTGCTGAATGCCTGGGGAATGAGTGAGTATTTGACATTTCTTTGTTTTGTGACTTTGGTGACATTATTTGCTTTCTCTAAGCTTCCATTTCCTGAAAGTAGAGAATAGAGCAACCCTATTTCACAGGGTTGTTATTCAGTTCTAGAAAAATAACATCTATGGGGTTAGTGCCGTGGCACAGTGGGTTAAAGCCCTAGCCTGCAGCCAGCATCCTATATGGGTGCCAGTTCGAGTACTGGCTGCTCCACTTCTGACCCAGCTCTCTGCTCTGGCCTGGGAAAGCAGTGGAAGAAGGCCCAAGTCCTTGGGCCCCTGCACCCACGTGGGAGACCCGGAAGAAGCTCCTGGCTCCTGCCTTTGGGTCAGCTCAGTTCTGGCCGTTGCAGTCATTTGGGGAGTGAACCAGCAGAATGGAAGACCGACCTCTCTCTATCTCTACTTCTCTCTGTAACTCTGCCTTTCAAATAAATAAAATAATTCTTTAAAAAATAACATATATGGAAGCCCATTTTCTATTATCAAGCCAAGTCCAAACACAAGATGTGATGATGCATGCAGTGACATAGTCTCATGTCTGTGTGAGGTTCTGAACTGGCAATGACAGAGTTGGATGAACTCAGGGTACTCAAGACTGTGGAAGCACCACTGGTCACCCACAGGCCAACAGCACTCAGGACAATGCCCAGGTCGTGTGCAGTTCACAAAGTTCCCAAAGGCACCAGCATGATGGCACAGCGGGTTAAGCTGCCACCTGTGACGATGGCATCCCATATGAGTGCTGGTTCAAATCCTGGTTGCTCTACTTCCTAGGCGGCTCCCTGCTAATGTGCCTCAGAAAACAGTGAAAGATGGCCCAAGTTCTTGGGCCCCTGTTACAGCCCATGTAGGAGACCTGGATGGAGTTCCAGGCTCCTGGCTTCAGCCTGGCCCAGCTCCAGCCATACAACCATTTGGGGAGTAAACCAGCAGATGGGAGATCTTTCAGTCTCTCCCTCTCTTTCTATAACTCTGCCTTTCAAGTAAATAAATAAATCTTTTTTTAAAATTTATGGAAAAAATAGAATTGAAAGATAATTTATTTTGGTGCAAATGAATTTCGAAATCCATGCATTATTTTTTTTTTTCTTAACAGGTGTTCCTATGAACTTTTTAATGACCCAGTGTAATGGACTCTTGCCTAGCTTCCATGGAATGTGAATGAATTGCTTTAATAAAGAAATCCTGTTGGTCTGGTGCGTGCGATCTTGGTTGAGTGGGAGGTTTGAATTCTAAGACAAGACAAATACCTATAGCAGGTGAAGAGCTTGTGGCATTGTATTAAATTTCCCTTTGTTTCTCACCTTGTTTTTCTTTCTGACACCGGAAAGCAATTTCTGTCACGCTCTGACTTTTGGTTGCAGTTGAGTTCAAGACATGATACTTCCCAATACGACACCTTGGCATTTGGGAAAACAGCAGAAACAGGCTGGTCCCACTCACCTTCTTCCACCCTCCTCCACTGAAGTAGACCATCAGTTCTAGGGAGAATTCCCTGAACTTCCCCTACAACAGGTCATAAGAGCCCCTCATTCACAGGTGTCCTCCCTATACCCGCAGGAAAGAAATGTGCTTACCTCAAAAGGCACAGGGTCACCGAGAAGCATCTGAACACCCAGTCCTTGTATAAGGTGTCCCTGCAGTATTATCATTTTACCATACCCACTTGGTCTAATTCTATTTTTCCACAACTGTCCACCTGTCACCAAACACAGCCTACAAACACACAAGTTGAGCTGTTTGGATTTTTATTTCTATGTGAAGCTTCCTATGTCACATAAGACTTACATTAAATCCCCTTGTATGCTTTTCTCTTGTTTTGTTTTTTTGTTTTGTTTTGTTTTGACAGGCAGAGTGGACAGTGAGAGAGAGAGAGAGACAGAGAGAAAGGTCTTCCTTTGCCATTGGTTCACCCTCCAACGGCCGCTGCGGCCAGCGCACCACGCTGATCCAAAGCCAGGAGCCAGGTGCTTCTCCTGGTCTCCCATGCAGGTGCAGGACCCAAGGACTTGGGCAATCCTCCACTGCCTTCCCGGGCCACAGTAGAGAGCTGGCCTGGAAGAGGGGCAACTGGGACAGAATCCGGCGCCCCGACCAGGACTAGAACCCTAGAACCCGGTGTGCCAGCGCCACAGGCAGAGGATTAGCCTATTGAGCCATGGCGCAAGCAGTTTTTCTCTTGTTAATCTGTCTCTTGTTTTAGGGACCTAAGTCGTGAACCTAGGAATGGATACAGAAAAGATATTTTTTCTTCCCCTTCAGCTGTGTTTGTGAATTTACACAAGGCTACAAGGAGTAACACAAAAATGTAAAAAGACCCAGTGTCTTAGTGTGGGGTCTTTCCCCCAAACCAAGCAGGTCCAGAAATAATAATTTGGGTGAAAGTTGTCTATTTGAGATGTGATTCTGAGGGTGAAAGATACGTGAGTAGCAAAGAAGAAAAGCTGATCATGTTTCCATAACAGAGTATGTGACTGCATTGGCAGCTGGGGCTCAACCCTGCTGAGAGGCAGAGGAGAATGTGCCCCAGAATTGTCCCTGCAGGAGGTGAGGGAGCAGGAGTATTAATTCATCAATGCAGCCAGGGTCCCTCCCAAGACGCCACCTCCTTCTGCATGCCCCGAGCACCTTCAGCCGGACAGGTTTCGGTGCCAGCACCTCTCATCTGGCCAATCCCAGTACTACACACCTCAGAGTCCTTTGCCCCATCCGGGATCGAGTTCCCTTCACTACCTATGATGGCTTCCACAGAAGACCCAGGGGAGGGTATAGCACCGTGCAGAGCTCAGGCGGGGAGCTCACTCCATCATGGTTAGGAGGACCAAAAGTTGGGTCTCTGTGCGCCTCTGACATCCTAGCCTTTGTTTCCTGTCTCCGTCTCTCTTCCCACTCTCTGCCTCCTCTCCACTACCTTCCCCTTTCTAGAATATTCCTCCTGCTTGTAACTCCCCTCATCCCATCCCTCTTCTGTCTTTTTTATGTGGCTGTGCTAGCAAGTTAAATTATATGGTTTTATTATCTTATTCATCATAATCTTATCTTTCTTAAATGTGCAAAGCATGTAAGATTTGTCATGTTTATGTCTTTGCCTCAAACTAGTTGCTTTAAAAATTCTTTGTTTTACAATGTCTCTTTCTAGCATATGGAGGATTTGGCTTATTTTTTTCCCCCAGTCATTGGGCGTTAGGATAAAAGAAAACCTGTCCGTGGAGCAGGCCCTGTCCTGCAGCGGATTAAGCCAGCTCTTGGGGATGCCCACATCTCATACTGGAGCACTCCTTCAAGTCCTGCTTGTTTCACTTCCGATCCTGCTCCCTGCAAAGGAGTACAGGGAGCAACAGAAGGTGACCCAAGTGCTTGGGTCCCTGACTTTTTTTTTTTTTTTTTTTTGACAGGCAGAGTGGACAGTGAGAGAGAGAGAGAGAAAGGTCTTCCTTTGCCATTGGTTCACCCTCCAATGGCTGCCACGGCGGCGCATCGCACTGATCCCAAGCCAGGAGCCAGGTGCTTCTCCTGGTCTCCCATGGGGTGCAGGGCCCAAGCACTTGGGCCATCCTCCACTGCACTCCCGGGCCACAGCAGAGAGCTGGCCTGGAAGAGGGGCAACCGGGACAGAATCCAGCACCCCGACCGGGACTAGAACCCGGTGTGCCGGCGCCGCTAGGTGGAGGATTAGCCTACTGAGCCACGGCGCCGGCCGGGTCCCTGACTTCTATGTGGGAGACCCGGATGAAGTTCCTGGCTCCTGTTAGCCTGGCCCAGTACTGATTCTTACATCATTAGGGGAGTGAATCTCTCTCTCTCTCTCTCTCTCTCTCTCTCTCCCCCTCCTCTCCCTGTCTCTTTCTCTTCTCTCTCTGTCTCTCCTCTCTCTGTCACTCTGCCTTTCAAATTAATAAATATTTTTTTAACAACAACAACAACCAAAAAGCTTGTGGAGGCCGCTGTGACAGAGCAGGTAAAGCTTCTGCCTGTAGTGCCAGCATCCCATGGGGCGCCGGTTCAAGACCCGGATGCTCTACTTCCAATCCAGCTCTCTGCGATGGCCTGGGAAAGCAGTAGAAGATGGCCCAAGTCCTTGGGTCCCTTCACCTGCGTGGGAAACCCGGAAGAAGCTCCTGGCTCCTGGCTTCGAGTAGGCACAGCTAAGGCCTTCAAATAAATTTATTTCAAATAAATAAATAAATCTTAAAAATGTTTGTGAACACACACATACACACATGCCAAAGGATGTTAATTTAAGGTCAGGGCCTACCTTGATTTGGGGTTGAGAACCATGAACTTTTTTTTTTTTTAAGATTTATTTATTTGAGAGGCAGAGTTACAGACAGAGAGAGGGAGAGACAGAGAGAGGTCCTCCGTCCACTTGCTCACTCCCCAAATGGCTGCAATGGACTGGGTTGGGCCAATCAAAGCAGGAGCTTCCTCCGGGTCTCCCACATGAGTACAGGGGCCCAAGCGCTTAGGCTGTCCTCCACTGCTTTCCCAGGCCATTAGCAGGAAGCTGGGTCTGAAATAGAGCAGCCGGGACTCGAACCGGCAGCCACATGGGATGCTAGCGCTGCAGTCAGAGGCTTAGCCCACTACTACGTTCACTGGCCCGAGAATGATGAACTCTTGGTCTCACCAACCTCTTATTGTTTTGTCATTCACCCTCCGATTTCATACGTAGCTGAAGATGATTAAGGTAAGAGATTTCTGTTTAAACCCAAGATGAAACGGATGTTGCCCTTAAATTACACAGGGAGGCCGAGGAGGGAGAATGAGGATCAAACCTGATTCCATGTTACAAGCTTAATCTCCCCTGAAACCCATCCTGCGTCTCCATGGAGGCAGAGTTATCCTTTACTCGTGCACTCGTGCTTAAGCCCGGCACTTGATTTAAAGACGCTAACATCAGTCAGCCATGTCAGTTTGTTTATAGCTCTCTTTACATAAAAGTCTATAAATTAAGGAAGAGTTAAGGAGGAAAGGGAGGATCTGGATGAGGGCACCATGGGTGAGTTGGGATGTCTAAAAGGAGCAAGTGCTGAGTCTCTGATGATTTACAGCTCATAGCACGAGAAAAGAACAGAGCCTGATGGGGAATTCAAAAGTCTACTGACCCAGGGCCAGTGGTGCTGGGTGCTTGGAAACCCAGGAATACTGTGGATGGCACACAGGTTCTCCTGGGCCCCTCTTCCTGTCCCTGGGTGTACCAAGGGGCATTTTTATTTCAGAGTTGAGAAAGTTAAGGATTGGGAATGACCATGGGAGCTATTAAGGGGAGATCTCCTTGGCTTGAGGTTTTTCTGGGCTAAGTCCAGTCCTTAGTGGAGCTTGGGTAGTCAACTTATAAGGAGCAGTGAAAGAGACAGAAATTGAAAAAAGAAGGTCAGGAAGAAATGGGAGGTGATATGGCGATTTGAACAGGGAGGGGAATTCATTAAGAATTTCTAACCTCCCCCACCCCGTCCTCTGGCCAGACCTCAACACTGGGGAGGCACCGCAGGTCTTGTTTATATGCTTCCCTCTTTCCTGTGCAAAGTCAGAGAGGAGGAGATGGGAAGGGGAGGGCTTTGTGGGACAAGCAGTGGTTACCTGCCAATCTGCCACACTGCACCAGCAAAGAGGGGGAAGGAGTCATGGCTGAAAGCGTGTCTGTCTCTCCACTCAACTGTCAGGAGAATAGGATGTTTCAGATGCAATTGCATGGGTTTTTATACTGTCCACTCAATTCAGCCCCCAAAGCCACATTGAGAGCATGCACACACACACACACACACACACACACACACACTGTGTAACATACACACTCACTATTCACATGTGCAGCACATTGGGACAAGGAAATGGGGAGACACAAACAGCGGCATGGAGCTGAGTTTCCAGGCCATGAGGCCCCATGAACACTTGGTGTAAATTAGAAAAAGGACATTCTGTGCCCTATGAGCAGGTGCACAGCTGGTGAATGGCATTGTCCTTGTGTATACATGGCCTGTGTAGAGCAAATGTGTCAAGAACAGCATAGGCTGACTTTTAATCTTGATTCGGCCAGTCTGCTGGCACAGATGCAGGATCCAATCTGCACATTCATGCTGGGCAGCCTCAGGTATCTGGGAGCTAGGCCCAAACTTGACCCACTACCTGGGCTTCATCTTCTCATCTCCTTTCTGTTTCTGCCATAACTCAGCCTGAGACATCTTTGTATGAAATCAAGTCAGGCATT